CGGGGGCGGCGGGGGGAGCCACAACCAAGTTCACAGTTCCGGGTACGGCCGTGCGCCCGGCCCGGCCCGGCCCAGCCCGGCCCGGCCCGGCCCTGGGGCTGCGTTCTTGCAGAAGGAAGCCCTTGGCCTGGTAATCTGGCGCTCGGCCGCTTACTGTCTAATCAATGAGATGGCGCTACGGACTCTTCCCTTGGTACTAAAACGCCCGTGACTGCCTTAGGCTCCTGGAGCCCTGACTTCACTGCTGCTTACGCTGTCTGAGCACGCGGTCTGTAACTGCTGTCCTCACTAGCCCCTGCTCGCATGTCTCGTCCCCACGACCGCACCCTTCCGCAGCTCCTGCCTCTTCACACGGCTGTTCATGTGCCCGCACCAGTCGGCCAGGCTTTTCCGTCCTGCTGCCGAGAACGGGGTTAAGCAGCGTGGCTTCGGCCGTGTCTGACCCAGCTTCACAGCGCTGCTCTGTCTGTTGCCACGGCAGGCCACGCGGGCCACACAGCCTAAGTTGTAGTGCCCTGTACTTGGAGCACTTGCTCCGTGAGCGTGGACAAAGGGTGGAAGCCCTGTGGAACCCAACAGCCATGTGAGGAGGGAGGGCCTGTTCTTCCTCTGCTGTATCACGGGGCAGCGTGACCGAGTCCTCCACTGGGGAGCGGCATGGGCCCCGCCTGGCCTGTTTGATGCCACGGTGCTGCAGGGGAATAGCAGTGGCTGGCCTCCTTCACGCTGCCTCCACGCCTGCCTGGAATACAGATGAGCCGATTAACCGAGGGCCTCTTCCTCTCTTGATTAATTCCCCATTCTGTCTTTCCGTGTGTCTCTCTTCTCTTCCTCCTCCTCCCCTCTGCCTTTCCTAAACCCTGCAGATAGCCCGGGAGGCCGAGGCAGCCATGTTTCACCGCAAGCTGTTCGAAGACCTGGTGCGAGCCTCCAGGCCCTCCGCGGACCTCATGGAGGCCATGGCCATGGGCAGCGTGCAGGCTTCCTATAAGTGCTTAGCAGCAGCTCTGATAGTTCTGACGGAGTCTGGCAGGTAGGGCCCTCAGGGCAGGTGGCGCTGTAGCATAACCTGCCTCTTCTGCAGCTCCTCCAGGAGGAGGCGGCCAGGGTCCCCTGCACCGTAGGGCTTCTCGTCTGCAGGATTCAGCCAGGGAGGTCACGACAGGGCAGGAGCGCAGGCCCCACTGGCTCCCGGGCACCTGGTGAGGGACCCGCGCCCGCAGGGCCTTGCTCTCGCTCGGCTCAGGCTCTGCAACGACGGCCCCTCGTGGCCTCGCCCGGGCCAAGTTCCTCACCAGCTGCCCGAGGGATGCTCCCCACCCGCCCCCTCTGCGACAAAGCTCTGACAGCTCTGTCCCCCTCGTCCGTCTGGACGGACGTCACCCCCTAGATTGCCCGTGAGGCGGAGGCCGCCATCTACCACTTGCAATTGTTCGAGGAGCTCCGCCGCCTGGCGCCCATTACCAGCGACCCCACCGAAGCTGCCGCCGTGGGCGCCGTGGAGGCCTCCTTCAAGTGCTGCAGTGGGGCCATAATCGTGCTCACCAAGTCCGGCAGGTAGGAGCTCTCCTGGGGGGCCCAGAGCCGCGTGTCGGACAGCGCTCAGGTGGCGCTGGGCCGAGGTAAGACCCCGCGGCTGCCGCCCACGGCTTGTAGGAGCGAGCTCTCCTGGCTCTGGCAGGGTCTGGGAGTGAGCAGGCCCCGGCTCTGGGCCCCGAGGGCCCCGGGCAGCACCCTCGTCCTGCAGAGCCAGCGCTCCGACCTGAGAACACGTCTGGCTGGGCTGGGTGATGGTATGCTCTGAGGACCAGCCCGGGAAACCTGGCGGGTCACGCCGGTGTTGCCTCTGACGAGGGCCACTGCCCCCGTGTGCACCGCCCACTCCCTGTGAGCCTCCGTGACAAGTGGGCGTCCCCCCAGAAAAGCCTCTCAGCTGTCCGGGTGGCTTTCTGCAGGCCCCCAGCTAGGCTGAGGACAACTGAGGCTGGGACTTGGGGACTGGCTCCTGGCCCAGGACTGTGCTCCTCGGCCCGCGCAGGGGCAGCCGGGGGCTGCTGGCAGAGGAGGCTGGGGAGGCGCTGACGGGGGGATCGCTCCCGTGGAGGCCTGGCCTTTGTGAAAAGGTCACGGGGGCTATTTGTAGCTTGTCTTCTGAGGTTTCGCTCACTGGTCCTGATTCAGCAATGGCTCCCTCCGACGCTGGTGTGGCGGCCAGGCCTGAAGCAGGGTGTGGCTGCTGTACCGTGGCTGAACTTCCCTGACACCTGTCGGGTGTCCTCACAGCCTGTCCCCTGGGGCCCAGTGGGGCCCAGTGCCTCTGACATCTCCGTGTGTGTGGTGTCAGGTTCAAGGGAGCTCCCCATCTCTCAGAGGGGCCTGGGCAGGTGAGGCTGCTCCACCCTCCTGCTCCTCCCGGCCAGCCCCAGGGCAGCTCCCGGATCTCCGAGCCTCACCGTGGCCTGCTTGCTGCCGGGCCCAGTGTGCTTGCTGGGACTGAGGGCCACAGATGGCGGTCAGGTGCTCTCCACGTGCCACCCAGCCCGCAGCTGTGCTGGCAGCAAGAGGGAGGAGGCTGGGCAGGGCCGCCTCTGTGCCAGACGGGAAAGCTCAGGGCGAGGGAGGGCTCCTGCCAGCTGCAGGCCATGCGGGTGAGTGGGTGACCAGGGGCCCCAGCCAGCGAGAAGGAGGGCGGTGTTGGCAGCGAGCCCAGGACGGTGCAGGCCTTGGGAGGCAGCAGCCTGCCCTGGAGGGGCCCAGGGAACAGGTACAGAAATGGCCAGAGCCTCCCAGCTGGGGCCGACGCAGATAAGGGCCCGCTGTCACTGAGGCCCCGGTGCTTCCCGGGACAGTGTCACGGCTCGTCACGCCTCTCCCCGTCCCCTCTCAGGTCTGCACACCAGGTGGCCAGGTACCGCCCCCGCGCCCCCATCATTGCCGTGACCCGGAACCCCCAGACTGCGCGCCAGGCCCACCTGTACCGGGGCATCTTCCCTGTGCTGTGTAAGGACCCGGTCCAGGATGCCTGGGCGGAGGACGTGGACCTCCGGGTGAACCTGGCCATGAATGTGGGTGAGTGGCTAGGAGCCAGGCCGGGACCCCGAGTTTGGGGAATAGGAGGGGACATGCAGCCCTTCCTCGCAGGACAGCAGGTGGGATCTGCCCATGACTGAGGGTGGGTGGGAGCCGCAGCACTATGGGTTCCCGGTTACGTGCCACTGTGGCCTTTGTCCCTGCGTAAGGTGGGGTCACGGGCAAGGAAGCTGCGCTTGCTGACCTTGAGTGAGGCTCCCCACCCTCCGAAGTGATCTGAATGTCGTCCAAAGGTCCCTGCCAACCCTGCCATCTGACTGGGGAAATCTCTCCCTCTGCCGCCCCGGGGCTGTGTGCTGGCGCCACCTGCTGGTGTGAGGCAGTCGCGCCTGCCTGCAGCTTCCCGGGCCGTGTCCCGCTGTGTGTGCCTGCCTGGTGGCCTGGTGGCCTGGTGCTCACCAGCCTCTTTTCTTCCCTTCCAGGCAAGGCCCGAGGCTTCTTCAAGACGGGAGACGTGGTCATCGTGCTGACCGGGTGGCGCCCGGGCTCTGGCTTCACCAACACCATGCGCGTGGTGCCTGTGCCCTGACAGACCCCAGCGCCCTCTGCAGCCCGTCCCACCCCTCCCGACCCATCCATTAGGCACAGTGCTTGTGTAGTGCTCACCGGCTGTGGCGTGGCACAGGCGGGCCGGGCCGCCAGGCAACAGGAGTGCCGCCATCACCCCAGGCTGCTTGGACCCTGCTCTGTGGGACGAGGCATGTAGGATTGGAGGCCTCGAGCTCACCACAAGAGGGCGACAGTGCGCTCTCCGTCTTGTACTCAGACAGGTCCCTGTAGAAGGATGCCCAGAGAGCTGCCCGCCCTGGGCGCAGGAACCAGCCCTGGCATGGGGTGGGGTGGGGTGGGGTGGTGACGGGACTCCAGTCTAAGAGCCTGGCCCTTCCCTGCTTCCCCAATCTCTGGCCCTGGCCCACGGCCTCCCCAACTGCCACCATGTCATGCTCTAGTGTCCCCACCCCTCCCTGTGGCTGCAAGCACTCCACCTTTCTGGCTGGCCTGGGCCTGTTGCTATAGAGCCTACCTGTGTCAATAAACACGGCTGAAGCACCTGTTTCCTCTCTTCTGCCGGGGAGTGGGGGGGTGGGGGTGGGCATGGCCGCAGCCTCGGCCCTTGCTGGGGTGCTGTCATTCAGGGCCCCCTGCCATCCTGTCTGATGCGGGGCACTGAAAGCTGCTGGGGGATATCATGACCCCCTTCAGCATTCCAGGGAGTGGGGTACTGCAGGGGTGGGAGGCCCCAGTGGTTCTGGAGGAAACGGGGAGGCAAGGGACCGTGCTGGTGGGTCAACCCGGAGTGAAGCAGCTCCCAGCCCGCCCTCCCCTTTGGTCTCCCCTCAATAGAGGCCACTTAAGAGCTGGGGAGGAGTCCCTGGACACATGGTGGGTTTTGCCCTTGGTCTCAGAACAGTAGGGAACAAAGTTCTCCCTCTCCCGCCACTCCCCCACCCATGCCCTCCTTGGCAGCAACGTGGTCAGGGCTGCAGGAGGGCTGGGAATAGGACCAAGGTGGGCCAGCATCCTCCCTGCCCCTGGCTACTCCCAGGAAGCAAGTAAGTTGGAAGGGCCGGCAGAGGGGAGACCTGCTAGCCCAGTTCACTGCCATATCCCCCCACTTGGCCCTGGGCTCTTTGCCGGCCACCTTCAGACCTTCCAGAGGCTCCCCTGGCGCCAGATACTGGCCAGCCCAGTGTCTGCCCCCCGAGAAGTGGCGGAGACAGGAGGGTGGCCAGTTGCAGGACAGCCTGGCCAACTGGGACCCTGTCTCAAAAAAGAAAAGGAAGCAAAGACGTTGGAGTTTTCCGTTCAAAATTCCCTCTGGTGAGAACCAGCAGATTGCATCGCTATATTCCCACGTAGTTGACTGCGGTTTGAATCCCAGACCAGGAGGTTTAAACCCCACGATGAGCGCGCACGTGCATGTTTGCGTGTGTGTGTGTGTGTCCAAAATCCAGAGGGAACAGAGGATAAGGACTTCCTGCCCGGCCGGCCCCCCTGGGGAGCGCACACGACCTATTGCAAGGCTCTCAAAACCCCAAATCCCCTCTGGCGTTCCTACTCCCCCGTCGAGAGGCACTGAAATTCAACTAGCCGAGCTGTGGGAAGCATGGGTTCCCGCAGGGCCCTCCGAGCTCCAGGACCAGGAGGACACCGGAAGTTGCACGCAGTCATGGGCCTCCTGCAGTCCGCGGACGGAGCTGGGGCGGCACCTGGGCGCCGGGGATGG